ATAACACAAATAAAGAAACGTACACGAAAAAAACAATGCATTTCTAAAAGGAGACTGTGTTACCAGTGTAACAGTACTACGAACCAGAATATGTACGTATAGTGTAACAATAACAACATCTCTTTATTGTTGTGCGAAAACAGACCAAACGTTAACGACGTCGTCGTCTTTAAAAAAAGCGCGCACATAAATTGTTTTTCAAAACGTAACAATGTCCGAAATTAACAAAAAAAAGAGATCAATAGAACAAATCGAACAAACGCACCTCGAAATAATTTCAACCTCTTCTTCGTCTTTATTCATTCCATCAAAAAAAACAAGAATAATTGTAAACTCTCACAACAAGCAAGATATCGCGTCCTTCAATAACGATGATTTGGGAAATAATCTAAATGCAGAATGTAGCCCAACTAATAAAGAAAGGATCCAAAAACAATCTTTTGAAACAGAAAAGAACGCAGTAGAATTAGCCACAAAAATAGGAGCAGAAGGGATTCTGATATCATCAGCTTCATATACAACGAAAGACGCAAATATAAATAAGAATCATAAGTTGTTTAAAGTGAATTATTCGGATGAATTGGATTATAATTTATCACCACTCAAAACAATAAATACAGCTGAAAATGAAAACGATCTTAATTTATCTAGTGAAAATGACGATAAAATCAAGAATCAATTTCAACAAATCGATACTGAACAGCTGGAAAAAACTATGTTGGATAATTTATTAATTCTCTTCAAATATAATGAGAATGATAAAGAATATTTAGAGAGACTCATTATGATAAAATCTCTTATGTCTTTTAATAAAATACAATTTTTTCAGGATTTCCGAGATGATATACGATATAAAAAAATCCTAGGCTTTATTTATCACTTTGGCATTAATGTTGACAAAGATTATGATCAAGCCTTGCAATATTATCAACAATCAGCAACTCGCAGAGATGTTGTAGCACAATATTTAATTGGAAAATTATACAATGATGAGGGTTGGATAAAAAAAAATAAGCAAAAAGCATTAGAATGGTATCTGAAATCAGCAGAGTCTGGATATCCTCAAGCACAATTTGACCTTGCTTTATTTTATGAATTAGGAGTAGGTATAGTGAA